TCAACTGTGCAAGATTTTCATTATGAAAATATTGATAAGAGTTGCTATTAGCCATAGTTATATTAGTGCAAAAAGTTTAAATTATAGATGTAAGATTAAAAATTAAAAAACCACCAAACAAAACAATTGTTAGTTTACTATAGGCACACACACATCTATGTATACACACACTGGTATGTACAGAACGATGTATATGAGTCATGCTTGTCATATAATAATTAAGGTAAACTGTCAAATTTATCTCTTGTAAAAATTTACGAAAAATATTAAATCACACCTTTTTTAATGTAATACCTAAGATTTACAGACAAAACTTATGCAAAATACACCATAAGACACGTCTGTCTACGTGCGTATATTATTTTTCAGTGTGTATGTAGATTTAAAGTCATAAAAATAATGAAAAACGAATGTAATAAAAACATTGCCGAAAGTTCATTGTTTGACAATTCAGAAGGTTATGGTAATAAATGCTGTCACAAAAATACTTATGACCATAGTAATAATCAGTACAATGTAATCAACAACTTGTTTGGCATTGCCATACTTACGCAAATTCTATAAGCTTTTCAAAACGAGCATCATACGGACTGCTTGTGGTTGATCGAGGCACCAAGGATTGACGAGTTATGATCCATTTTTTTTACCGTCTGCTCATCGCATGCGTGCAGCCAGCCAGTACGCCTAGAATCAATTCTCGATTTCTAACATTGATATGGTAGCTTACTGAACTTATTAAACCGTCTGAACCGTATTTCATAATCATTACAGTGTCTATATATTTATAAAACGAGAGCTGATTAACCTTTTTTATTTTAGAGGAGTGTTAAGCGCTCGTTTTGTGTATTATCGAGAATATTGTACTATGCACTTTTTTAATATTAGAGTGTACATATATATACTATATAATTACCAATGAAAGAGATCACATATACATTCATAGTTTGAACTTTGAGTGTTTACAGCTCGACTATTGTAGTGCATGCGTTCGAGAAGGCTTGAGCTCTGAGCCTTCGTAGTTGGGCACTTTTCTGCCCAACGTCAAGGAGTGACACTTCGATCTTGACTCAGCCTGTGCTCGGAGTTCTTTCGAAGTCCCATACTTCTAACTTTCAAAGACAGGGCTTCTATTTCCTAAACAAAGCACCTCAAACTATTTCGAAGAATAGATGATCGAAGTTTGAGTTCATAAGCAATAAAATTGGGGCTTTTTACCTTTGATGAATTCTCGAGAGCCTCCAGTTCATCAGTTTTGAAGCGTGAGACTTCGAAATTTCTCTTCGTGTACTAACTAAAACGCTGCGCAAGCGGATGCACCTTGTGCCTAGTCTTCTTTAGTTGAAAATGACTCTTTTAGGTGTCTTGAAATTTTATCAAAAAAAAAAAAAAATTTATAAATTTATACATAAATGTTGTTGCTGAACAATGATAATAACGACGACAACGACGACAACTTTTGGTATCACTTATTATTTTCTGCCTCGTATTTAAAACAGCTTTTTTTTCATATGGTCGCTTTTCGTATCTTAAACTACTTTACTGTCCTTACCAGTTATTGATTGGTTTGTAGCGATTTCTTTTTTTTTTTTTTTTCGTAGAGCGCTTAATATGTCCTATGAAGCGTGCACTCATACCCTGATTTTATTTTCCCTGTATGATTTTAACACATCGAAAAATTATCTGTGTTATACGTAATACATGCAAACATTTTTTTTTAATTCCTGGCTGAATACAGAAATTTCTTCACCATTGACTCGTAGTCTGCTCTCATATTTTTCTGAATACTTTTTGAATGAATGAAGTCTGCAATGTACTTTGAATGTAGCAGATTTTGTTATTATTTAAACATTCACAGTCTTTCTCCTTAGTCATCTCATAAAAAGTTGGCTTCTATTACTATTACTTTTACTTCCTTTGCTATTTTTAACTTTTCTTGTTTTCTACAATCGCTTTTGTTCTTTATTCTTAATTTTAGTTACCATTTTCAATCCTGTTACTACTTATGTCTCTTACTCTCAATGCGTTGATCCTGACTCCTACTTTGACGTTTACTTCTTTTTTTCTTGTTACGTCAACGAAATCATTTCTTTTGAATCTATCTGTTTCACCTAACAGTATACTTGTCAAGTAGCTCAATTCTTTAAGGTCTTTTTGCCTTAGGTGATTCACTTTTATTTTTCCACTGGTTATTTAATCCTTTGGGTCACTGCGACTTTCAAAATGTCTACCCTCACGATTTACCCTTTTTTTACTCTCGAGCTTTTCGGAATGTTATTAAATCATCCTTAATTTTTTAAATTACATTATTTGGTGTGGCCTTTAACAGCTGATAGCTACTGTTTCTTTATTCTGCGTGTTAACTTTAGAGGTGATGAAAACTGATATGAAATCATGTTTTGTGTGTTCAGCTGCCTTTATTTTTTCTTACTTTACTTCAATCTTATTTATTAAGCTATGACTTTGTGGGGCATACTTTTGTATTTTATGACATATATAAGTCCAAGACATGTTATCTCCTTTGACTAATAATTATTTTGTAATTTTGATTCTTTTGAATTTTCAAAACCCGAGCTGGGAAACCGTCACTTACTTTTCTTTCGTCCACTTCTCGTCGGTAAGGCCGATGATCCCTGCCTGGCGCATCGGATCTGCTAACTCTTACCTTTAGCCCTAACGCTGTTTCGCATTCACCTAGGCCCGAAGACCTGTGGGGCAAGGAAACAATCCTAAAATTAGTCTGAAGGAAAATTACACGGAAAAACCTGGCCCGAAACAGCCGGGGTTACATAGAAACTTTTTCCGATGAAAACAGTTTTTGAAAAAATCTGCATTCACTAGGAATCGAACCAACGACCCCTAGAACAGCTTTGTATTAGTAACAAGCACGCTTACTACTGAGCTAACGCTGCTCCTGTTTCTTGTTCATTCATCATTTGATACTACTTCACACTCGTAGTTCTGGGTTCTTTACTCCCTTTTTATAACTGGTGTCCTCGAAAGTGCATCTAGCTCATTTTTTAAGGTATCAAGACTGTATATGATAGTCAAATCGTACTCTTGCAGTTCTGCTTTTAGTCTATTAAAGCAAATATCTAATTTTTTTACATAATGACGATATTGTTATGGCTTATGATCTGTTATTACTGTTAATTTTCTGCCAGTTTAAACTGCTTTTGGCAAATACTATTGCTAGCAATTTTTTTATCGTTCGTTTAGTATCTAAGTTTACCATCCTTTAGGAATCATGAAGCATATTTATATGGCCTGACTTTATTAATTTCTCTCTGACTGAAAACTTCGCTAACAGCGTAATGTAATGCTTTCGTCATTAAAATAAAAAAGTTTAGTTAAGTCTAGCTCTGCCCATATAGGTTCTAAGAACAAAGCTTTAACAAAAATTTTGAAAGACTCCTCTTATATTTTAGCCCATTTAAATTGCGTACCTTTCTTTGTTAACTTAGATTTTTATCACGCCTCGGGTAATATTTCTTAAATTTCCTTTAACTCCTGGTAAATCTAAGAAACTGTTTTTTTTTCTGATTGATTGAGCTCAGGTATTCTTTTCCCGCTTCAATTTTTTTTAGATGGTTCTGCGTCTTACCATTTCTATCTATGTATTTAAGCACTTTGGCTTGTATTTTTCAAAATTAGCATTTTTTCGGCTGTTTTGTCATGACTGTTATTGCCAGTATTTCAACTGATTTTTTAAAACGTTTTTCGCATTCTATAAAGGTTGTTGTGAACACCAAAATATCGTTCATACACACTATATATATACAATAATTTCTTGCCCTTGCGGATCAGCTAGACTTGTATTATAGACCCCAAAAATGTGTTTGGTAATTCCAAGCTCCCACATACGTTTATGCTAGTATAATGGCTATCAGATCCTGGGAAGGCCGTTTTGCTTGTGTTCTGTTTCCTAATTTTAAGCTGCTTTTCAAGTCCGATAGTCTGAGGTACTTGGCAAATAACAAGTGCTCTAACATATCCTTTCAAAGAGTAACAATAGCAGCTACTCATAATTATTACACTTAGTCGCTTTAATAATTGAAATCTGTCAAGTTTTAAATTTTTTTTCTAATATTTTTTTGCCCCAGTTATCTACATCGTCTTACTATGACCAGCTTATTTATTGTAGTCTTATTTTGGTACTTAAATAAATGTGTTATTTTAAGTAGCTTTTCATCTATATCGAATACGAGTGGATTAACCGCTATTAGTTCTCTTACGCGCTGTAGTTCTTCTTCACTACGGCCCTGATTATCTACCAGCGTAAGTATTTTCTCAATTTTTTTATTGACACTTTTCAGAAAGCCCTTTTTTTCCAATATTTAACTAAACCTGAAATTGATGAGATCATTTTGTAGATGTTTTTCAATTTACATGCGTAACAGTTATTACTATCTATATAAAAATGTATAAATTATTGTATTGTTATTTTTGTTCTGATCTAAATCATCGATTAAAATGATGCTAAAATAAAATGTTCACAAGTCTTATCAATCCTGATTGCTTTAAGCTACTACAGCTTAAAGTTCGATTTTTTCAAGGTAGTTAAATACTATTGTATCAAATTTTACATTGGCTAGATCAGCTTTCATTTCCTAATAATGTGAGCCATAACAGTATGGAATAAATTATTTTTTAATAAGACATTCCAAATTGTATGTCATAAGAAAGCTCGATAACAATCTCTTTATTTCTGAGTGTAAGTGCTGAATAATTCAAGGTTTTGTGATTGTCTTTGCCTTGTATAAGTCATGAGATATACTAACTAGATATTATACTTGTATGATTGTCGAAAAAAAATCTTTTTTGCTTAAATCGACACTAAAAATACGTTTATGATATTATTACTCATGACTAAAAAAAAGTTGTTGTGATTAATCACATGTATTATAGTTTAAAATAAATAATTTAAAAAATGGTATAACTCACAACAAACACTCTATATTACACAATGGCATGGTTAAAAAAATATAATTTTTTTGTTACAGTGGACTTTTTTTTGAAAAACATTTGAAATTTATCGAGCTTAATAATAAAAAAGTAGATTTTTCTAAGCATGACTTAAAATACCTCTTAAAAGTAAGTGAAAATAAAATTTTAATGTTACCATTTAATACGTATAACTCACTACTTCAGAATATTGCTAACTCCTTTGTTATTTGCAGGAAAACTACGATGCAAAGTTTATAAAAAAAGTTTATCAGCTGAAAGAGGTAAATTACTTAGAGTTAAATTCAAACAAGCTACCAATAATTCAGTCAGAATATAGAATATCGTACGATAGTCGCCAATCTTACAAAAACATTGCAAGAATGTTTGGATTAATGGACGATTTTAAGGTAAGTAAAAATATCCATCTGGTACAAAATTCTATTACAACTGAATGAACACATAATTACAACTGAAATTAAGTATACAAAAGAGGAGAAGTTATTTCATATTATTTGTTTGATGATTTTTTCACTTATAATACAATTGAACATAACTTATGAAAGACTTCATATTAAAATCTACTTGCAAATATATCTTAAAACGTATTTATTTTAATAATGTTATGATTATAAAAAATGATATGTCATAAATAAATATTTTGTCATACATAGCATGTCCAGTAGTAGTTGAAAGAAACAAAAAGTTGTGGGGGCGACCTCGGTGAAAAATATACGTATTATTGCTCGACAAAAACTACCAAAAATCAGGGCTTTCAAAGAAAACTATCACTTATTAAGATCCTTAGAAAAATATGATTTTACTTTTTGATTCTAGTCTTATGTTATATACATTTACTTAAGTGGGAAGGTGTTTCATTAAAAAAATTAAGCAAATCTTATTATAGTCTCATTAGGAAAACCAAAACTTACATTTCAAGACCAAAGAAATATCACATTGTAGATTTATCTCTAAACAAATGTCAGATACTATCTCCCCTGATTTCAGTATGGTATAACATAAAAGGAAATGTAAAATTTGTATATAAGTATCAATTTTTAATCAGTACAAAATTTTTTATAAGAAATTTAAAAAATTGGAGAGCTGAATTAAACAATGTATATAAAAGTTCTGTACAAGCCACATCTGCTACTTGCTATGCATAAGTAGTTCTAAAAATAGCGGGTAGCACGTACGTATGGCTTATTATACTACAAGATCTAGTTTAACTGAACTCGCCACAACTTTGAAATAAGGTAATTTAAAAATTTACTGTTTACGCAAATTTATTCTTCTATCTATAAGAATAGCGTGAAAGGTCACGTCCACATTTTATTATCAGGTCCAACCCTCCAATAAATTTTTTCAGTCACACAAAAAATAACAAGTGTCTTTAAAAAATTTAGGAATTTTAAAACAAATTCTCAAGTGTTATACAAAATTATTTAAGGAACAAATGATAAAGAAATACGTATAATGTTATTTTAATTTTAAATTAAAAATTGTGCGAAAATCGCACAGTAAAGACTTTTAATCCAAAGGCTATTTTTTTGTACTTAAGAGGAATCTGCTATTATTACCAATACATATTTTATAAATTTGTTTCACCCCAATATGCATTCAATCACTTATGTATACATTAATTTTATTCACTTCTAAAATAGCTCTCTTATCACAGTAAATCATTCTAAAAACTAGAAGTATTTACTAGCACATACAATACACATAACGCAAAAAGTAATTCACAACTTACGTGAATCCTCATATATTTTTCCTGGAGTTGTCGAACAAGCATGGTTTTCGTCTGACATCAACGAATGATTGTACTTTTCACCTAAGATTATCGTCATGCTTTTTGTGTGGGCATCCGAAAAGTAATAGTTTTTGCTAGAAACCTTCGAAAGCACTAGTCTTTGCCTGAGTTAAGTAAAGGCGTTGATGTATATTTTTCTGTATACATGTCGTTGCAATCGTACTATTGTTTTTTCCGTGCTTTAATATAAATAATTAATTATTTTTATTTTCAAGAGCCCCCACATCCTCCTACAGAACCTCATGTAATGTCATTTCAATCCAAACATAACATATTTAATTTATTTTCAAAAAAATGTTACTTTCATCTTGTTAAGTCTTATTGACTATTTCTTATGATTTTCTTAGCATAATTGATACTTTATCTTATGTAGTGAAGTTTTTTTTTTTTAGAAAAAAAAATCATTAATTATTATTAAAATTTCATGCTATTTAAGCGTTTTATGATTTGGAAATTTTTTTTTTAATTTTCAAGTACTATTAAGTGTTTGAAAAAATAACTATGATATTGGTTTCTTTGATTATAAGGTGATGAGTTCTACAGTGTCAATAACTACTTATTATTTGTTTATCTTTACTTAACTTTTTCATTTTTTTAACCAAACATTAAATGAATTTCTTACTCTACTTTGGGGCAAATATCTAGGAGCATTCTTTCAAGTTGTCCCCAATAACCCTAATCTTCTCACGCAATTATTTTTTGTCATCATTCCTTCTTCTTTACTAAATTGGTATTTAAGTTATTACAATATAATAATGTTCTTTGAATATTTATTTCCAAACTAATTTTTAATGATATTTTTTCTGTTCAATTATGAATGTACAAAAATTTCGCTTGGATTTTATATTCAGAAAATGCTACAATACACCTAATTAGTTGAAACTTTGTACTTAAGATGTATATTTTAATTGTCTGTAAAATTCTTTCACTGATAAGTATTGTGCTTTATATGAAATTAAAGATAAAGAAGAATATGTACCAACTTAGAATACAACGTAATTTAAGCTTAAAGACAGTGTCGTTAAGTTTTTTTCCAATTACTATTTGAGCTTCAATGAAAATTTTATCATTATGAATCTTATTTCACAACACAATCCGTCAAATAAACTTTTTACTAAAATTACAATTTCACCCATTTTCTAATTCAATTTAAGTTGTAGAAGACCTGAAAAAAATCTTATTTCATACTTGTTTTGGAAATTTTGCTATGAATGTTTTCATCACAATTATTCACACCTTAAAACGGAACATTGTCTACACTATGATAAAGTACATTTCTTTGATAGCATTAGGAATTTCACTATTGAAAAAAAAAAAATTTTTTTTATAAAGAGTTTGATTTGCACTAATTTAATGTTATACAGAAAACTTATTTTATTGTTTCTAACACACGTCTGTCGTAATGTAATTTTAAGAAACATTAGAAAATTGAATTTTTTTTGTTTTCAATATTTGAAAGTTATTCCAAAAAAACATTTCTTACAAATCTTATATTAGCAAGTAATTTCGAAGTGTTTAAGAATGTCCATAAAAATAAAGATTTAATTGCGTTGGAAATTATCACATTTCTGTTACTATTTTGTATAACTGGAAATAATTCGTGGACAATTCCACCTTATGTCATGAATTTAATTGCATGAGGTACGTTATTGTTACATGAATCTTTTAAAGTTTTAATTATTATTTCCAAACTTATTTTTTAGGGATCTACATTTATGAAGCCTGTCCATGTCTTAAAAATGATTCTTCAAAATTGTATTTAAATGCAAAAAACATTCGTTTTTTCTGAAAAATATTTTTTAGCGTTTAAAATGGCAGACTACGTCTTATTAACACAAGGATTGTGCACAAGTTTTTGTACAAAAAATATCTTGCACAAGCTTACGAATAAAGACCACAATATATTTTATAATTATTTTTATGTTCATAATATTTGTGCTTAAATCAAAGTACATTTTGTGCACATCGTATCAAGATTAAAAATTGTCTATGAAAAAAATTGCTCTTATTTTGGCAGATATACTGTGCACGAAAAAATGTTGATATAATACTTTTTGATCATTATTTATTAGCTTGTGCATGATATTTTGTGTAAAAAAATTTGCATCAACAACATTGTTTTAAATGCTTGTGTGCACTGGGCATAGTCTGCCTTGTAAATCAAGTTTTAAGTTCAAGTCAATTTTTCTCAAAGTATGTGTTTTCATACATATAGACCAATCAAAAGAGCAACTCATAAACTACATCTCTAATTTTCAGAGTAGGAGAGCTACAGGTGTAAAAATAGTGAGTAAATCAATACTGTGGTGCATGGTCTCGTGCGCTATCGAACACACGGAGTCGACTAGCCCCTGCGGCTGCTATAGCATATATGTGGTTCACATTTTTCATATTTGCTAAAAATTGTAGAAAGCAAGCTGAAAAATATTATAACATGTAAACCTAAAGATTTTGAGCTACTTTATTCGATGATTTATTTGTTTTTCATCGCGTAAATTTTTTTAGTAGAAAAGAAGGTTGTAAATTTAGAGTAGAATTTAGAAGACTACTGTTAAATACGTGCTTTTTTTGTCTGCTGTATGAAAATTAGCTGACTTAAAGAGACGCATCAAATTCAGAAGGAACATCGTGAAAACTTTACTCGTATTAGATTTACTTTGATTTGCATCTGTCGTTTTATTTTGTTCGACAATAATTTGTATTACCTCTTGTTATTTTTTCCATTTTCATACGTTAACACAACTTTTGATTAAGTGGGTTATCAAGTATGAATTAAATATAGTTACCGTCACTAGTTTTAAAGAAAATACCAGTAGAAAGAACAAACTAGCCCCCCTTCAAGTAATGTAAAACTCTATAAGTTTTAACTATATTTTTATTGGGTTAAATTTTTGTTTAGCACCACCTCTGCCCCCCTCCCTCTTTTCATAATTTTATAACCCAATAACCAGATAGTTCCATAAGCCTCCCTTACAATTGAAAAAAACTTTCTTTAGTTTTCCATTAGCAGCATATCAAAATAAAGCGAAATAATATCAGTAATAATGTCATTTTTAGATTAATTACTTTTTGCACCCCCATTTTTAGCTCCTAATACTTTTCAAGATAACCTCTCAGCCTTTTCACAGTTTCTAAACAGCCAATTTTCACCATTCTGTAGCTACACAATATTATATCTTATTCCAATGGAATAATTATTTTAGCTGTATGATTTGTTGGCACATTTTCATACTGGAGTTTTTCACCTTATTTTTATTGGGTTGAATTTTTGTTTAGTCCTTTTCCGTCCCCTAATTCCATAACTTTATAACCTAATAAGCAGATAATCCAACACAGTTTTAAAGAACTCCCTCCAGTTACTCTTCAGCCGCATCTCTTAATGAGGTAAAATGATATCGGTTTTAATGTGATTTCTAGTTATATGACTATTTGCATCCCTGTCTAAGCTCTTCTTACAGATTTCAGAAATCCCCTGATTTCTAGCTCATTAGCACAGTTCCACACCACTATTTAGGTGATGTTAAGGTGCGCGGGTTTTTTTAAAATAAATTTTTTAAAATCTTATTAATTGCATTATTAAATATATATAAGAACATG